ACATCGTAAATGGGAGAGCATAAACAATAGGCGTGAATACGCAATTACTCTTCAGACGAAGTGTGAACTAGGTATTATTTATTGAATTCTTACTTAAGTCGTAAATATTTACATATAATTAACATATAATAATTGTTATTGCTTAAAGAATTTGAATTAAGTATTTATTTATAACAATTATTGTATTATTGTTAGGAAAATAACAATAAATAAATTAAACAAAATAAAAACCTGTAGTAGAATTTAAATAATATGGAAAGTTACAATTAATTTTATATTCCGCTTTTTCAATATTAATATTATAAACAATTTAAGACATTGATTTAATTGTATTAGAAATTTAATAGAAATTAGTCAGTACGATAATTTCTCCTACGCTAAAGTGTATAAACCCCCCCACATGTAAACAAATGGGTGGTGGGTGTAGTTTAAAGTCTATTTTGACTCTCTCTCTTCTATGGCAAAAACAATAATAATAGCGATTTTGAAAACTTAAAGGCCATCATTTAAATTATTAATAATAAAGCAAGAATGAAAAGAAAATCGTATAAATGTCGCTTTGAAGAGGACCCTGAATAGAAAAAAAATCGATAAATAAAATTTGTATAAATAAATAATTTAAATTAAAATTGCATTTTAAAATTTGTATTTACTATAATACAATCAATATTCATTCATATTATGAGTAAGTAATTGTAGTTAATTTAATTAACAATAACTTTTAAAAAGTAAACAAAAACAATAATGTAATTTTGTCATGATAATGATGAAATTGAAAGAAAATCAATTGCTCAGCTGGTACGCAATTTCTTAGTAAATATGAACTACTATATACATTTAATTAGTAACTATTTACAATCTAATAAATTTCAAATGAAATGCCAAAATGAAAATGACAAAAAAAAAAAAAATAAATTTGACATAAACCTTGACCTATGACTGGTAATAATAAATAACGGACTTTGAAGTAAAAAGTGCGTAAATAATTTGTGAATGTCAAAGTTCTTATAATTAAAAGGGATTTCCTTATGATGACGACATGTCGCCGTGTTATTTAATTTCTACTGTACTTATCCACACCATCTTTATAAATAAATAATTTTTTTATTATACTTTTCAGAAAATGTTATTATACCCTCCTACACCACTATAGTGAAGAGGTTATTACGTGTTTGTGCTGATGTTTGTAACAGCTAAAGATATTGGTCAGAAATCCACTTGAATACAATATCACAGAGGCTGGAAGATGCACTCAATACTCGATACTCGGTGGAGTATCGATATTGGTTGTAAATCCGATATTGGTATCGATATTGGGTGTAAATCCGAGCAAAACCGAACTTTTACTATTTACCAGGAAGTATAAAATTGACTTCTTTAAACTGGACTGTGCTAAATATCTAGGGGTTATTCTTGATAGTAAATTATAATGGAAACCCAACATCATACCAAGATCGACAAAGGTCATCCGAGCAAAGCCGAACTTTTACTATTTACCAGGAAGTATAAAATTGACTTCTTTAAACTGCATCGTCTGAACGAAGTTGAACTCCCACTTTCGGACTGTGCTAAATATCTAGGGGTTATTCTTGATAGTAAATTATAATGGAAACCCAACATCATAGCAAGATCGACAAAGGCCATAACGGCAATATGTACCTTTGCAAGAAAGCTATAGTAGTAAAATGGGGGATAAAACCAAAATTAGTGAAATGGATTTTTGAAGCGGTTATCAAGCCAATTCTGTTCTATAGAGCTACCTCTTGGTGGAAAGCACTAAATATAAACTCAAATTGTAAAATCCTTGACAAGGTTCTATGGAGAATGTCGATACTGATAACTTGATCACTGGGAACAACTTCGACGAAATCCCTATTCGTGCTGGTTAACGGACTTGTTGGCCAGTAAAATAGCACTCACAACGGCATTAAGATTGAATGCAATAAACGCATGGTCGTATAGACCATATATATAGGATAGGAAATCTACCGGTAAATATTGATTACTGCGTCCCCAAGCCGTTCCTCCAGAGAAACTTCAGTTTCATCATCTCGGAAAATGCGGGACTGGAAGGAGATCGCTCTCCACGAAGCCTAGCCGTGTACACAGATGGCTAAAAACGAGGAGAACGAGTAGGGGCGGTATTTTCATTCCAGAATTTGGAATCAGGATTACTTTTAGAATCGGCAATGATTGTAATCCGATCCAAGCCGAAATATCGGCCATAAAAAGAACGGCAAACTGGCTCTGGTAACGTAAGATATCGGACAGAGATATACTAATCTTTACCGACAATCAAGCTGAAATTAAGTCCCTGACAGGTTATATTCTACATCACGACTAGTATATCCTAAAATAGGATGGCAAGATAATCAACATCGTACTCGTATGGGTACGAGCTCGGGAAAGCGGGTTCGCAGTTGCCCGACTCGGACATAGACCACTTCTGTGGTACTCCGATCGGAGTATGCAAAAGACTCATAGATAACATGTTTTTGTGAACTCTCACAGGCAAGATGGAGAAATGAGCCAACTTGTACTCAAACAAAGAATATATGGCCAAAGCTTATCTCAAGAACAATTCGTTATAGCAAGAAAAGCTCGATATTAATCGATAAAATAAGGAGGATGTATGATACATATGATTTAGACCACTATCAGCGTTGTTGTAAGCTCCTTTACCAGTGTCTCCTGTTTGAATGGAACTCACGAGCTCCGGACTGACAGTTTGGAACACTACATAATATTTGGTCGACTATACTATCCTGAAAAAGGTGTAAGAATTCCACTTTTGTTTGTGTTATAAGAGAGGATATCGAATCGATGGAATATTACCTATTTGACTATACACTTCCATACGAGTAAAGTGCTAAATCTGCTCTACGACTTAAACAGTCGAACGGACTAAAGCACGATCGCATTGGTCATGGCAATATCCTACTAAAGAAAGGCAGGCCAATCATGGGGCAGGAAAGGGACGACATACTATCTACATTGAATTTTAATAGGTCATTCAAGACCAGAATACCTACAAGGGATGATTGGGCCGCGAACACTACCCAAGGGGATGATGTGATCTCAATCTATACTGATGGCTCAAAGACAGAAAGGGGCACGGGATTGGGAATCTTCTCCGAAAAACTGTATCTTCTACTGTCTCATCAACTACCTGGCACCTGCACGGTCCTTCAGGCAGAGATATATGCATATATATATATTTGGATAGCCTGGCATCAATCAAGGCTCTTAACTCCAGTGTTATTAAGTCGAAATGTCTTCTTAATTGTATTCAATAATTGGCATAACATCACCTTGAGTTGATATGGTTTCCAGGACATGAGGGCATCCGAGGAAATGAAATATCTAATGAATGCGCAAAGGGATATTCACACTCCCCTAGTGACCCTAACAAAATTGATAGATGACTGGGCTATGGAGTGAGACGGAACTCAAGTGGTCAAATATCACCACGTGTAGAATATCGGGACTGCTCTGGCCCACAACGGATAGGACTAGGTCACTCTTGTCTCTAAGTAAAAACTCGATTAGGCTTATGTATGATTCGACATATGTATGTAGGAACGTATGAGCTACTTACGTTATGGCTACTGTAGAAGCTGGTTGGACGAAGAAGAAGTGAAATCGGTATAACATCTTCTATGTGACTGCCCAGACTTACAAAAGCACAGACTACATTAGCTTGTTACCCCACGTTATAGCTACTGTAGAAGCTGTTTGGACGAAGAAGAAGTGGAATCGGTATAACATGTGACTGGCCAGACTTACAGACTTTTCCATGATCTGGACTGCCTAAGAGATGCGTCACTAGTAAACATGATCGGTTTATAGAATCGGTTATTAGAAATACTGGCTCGTTTTCACGGAGACCGCAAGAACCAAGTAGTCGACGAAATTAAGGAGGATAATCTTTCTCTCTATATAAGGTAATGACAATTCTAAGGGTATCAAAATGGGCCACTAGGCCTCCGAGTAAACTCGCTAACTAGCGAGCAGCCCACGTAACCTAACCTAATCTAAAGTGGTAAAATATCGTGGAGAACAGGTTACCAATTGTTGTTGTTGTTTTGAAGGGCTCGGAAATGCAATCGGCTTTCTCGAGGAATTGTCACTACAAAGGCAACATCTGAGTGGCCATTAATTTATAGTGTAATTTTAGAAAGATTAACACAAGATACTTTATGGGGAGTAGAGGTTAAAGATGTGGACGTTCCCAGTAACTTATAAGACAAAATAATAATCAGGTGACAAGAACATGATTACACTCCTAGATTTCTTTTTGCTATATAAATTTCATTAAGTTCATTAAAAATTTCATTAAATACCATTTGATGGAAATTTTATTAAAACAAACAAAAACCAATTTCTAAAGAAAACAATACAATATTTTAAAATTCGTGACATAAAGTTATAATTTAACAAAAATTAATTACAAAAAAAAATACTTATTAAATAACTATGGACTGTTTTAGATTCAGAGCAGACCTTTAAATGTTATTAATAAAAAAAATACACCCAAAAAACAACAAAAATGAATACGTAATAAATATACAGCAAAAAAAATAATAATGAAAATAAACGATTCTGACAGACAGACACGACATTATTTATGATGTCAATTTAAATTTGTAAATGTTGCTAATGACGTCATTTTGTCCTTTAACCAAAAGGATTGCTTTATTATTTGGTTAAAAAAAAACGGTTTTTAGGAGGAGAAGTGAAAACCTTAAACAAGGATTCCTTATTATTAGGGTTTGTAATAGTAAGATATTATGGCAAAAAGTAAAAAAAAACACGTGAGTAGTTTTTTATGGAAATGATTAAATGGGATAAGGAAAAATCAATAATGAATATATATGTATATATATCAAACCAATAACAAAGACAAGAAGCAAGCAAAGCAGTCAAATAAGAAACCTATTTCAACTTTTCTTTAGCATGGTTTTCTTTTTCGTATAATATCTTTTACTACTACTACTGACCTTTCTTCTGGTGATTCCATAAGTTCATCGGGCATTATATCGCCAATATCTCTGGTTGTTTCTTGCATGGGACTAGTGCCCAAATCTATAGTAGTCATACCTTCAACCATTGTCATAATCTAGGGGAAGAACTTTGTGGTTTTTTGTTTTTTTCTAAATAGGTTTAACACTCGGTTTTTTGGACTTTTAAGTCCCTAGTTTACAAAAACAAACGGTGGTTTAACTATATTTGATTGCCTTTTTTTAATTAATTCTTTTCAGTGTATAAAATCTTTAAGGGTGGGAGTATTTGTATTTGCCACACTTTTCAATCAATCAATTTTTCTTTATTCTTTAATTTTTCTTTATAAATTATTAATTTTTTTCGTTTTTAATTTCACTTATTACGTCTATTTAATAATTTTTCTTTATTTTTATTGGGGTTTATTTTTTTAATGAAAAAAATCTTCTATAAAATAAACATTTAGCGGGTTTTGTTTTTCTTTGGTCTTACAAAATCTATACTAAAATAAAATTCTCTTTTATTTTCTTTCTTTAATAAAAAATCTAATTTCTCCAATTCCACTTGTTTTTTTTTTCTTTCTTTCTTTAATTATTTTTTACTTTATTTTCAATGTGTATTGAAATCGACCGTTTTCAAACGTAGCGTTTTATCGACTAAAATTTACTTGAGCATCCATTAGTGTTAAAACACTTTTGAAATGCGTCGTTTTGTTGTTATATTTTGTTTGTGCTCACCATCACAGAGGCGTACAGTGTTGTCAACTGTTTGTGATTGTTGGTGATAGTAACGTTTATTTTAAAGATAATATTGTCAAAAAATAGGGGAGAAATATAAGATAACCGTCTACTGCAAGGGATGCTGGTTAGAGATACGAATATGTAGTTGAAATTTGTATTTTTAACTAACTTGTGATAAAACTAATATTTTTATCACAACCCACCTTCACGGTCTCTTTGTAACACATGAAAATATTGGCCATGCACCCACAAAAATGTATGTATATTATAGGACTATATATGTTGGAACATCCACCAAGGGTTTATTGTTTAGACTATAGACTAGACTATATTCCAGATTACAGACTAGATCATAGACTAGACTATAGACTGCACTAGAAACTATACTATCGACTAGACTAGATACTAGATTATGTACAAGATTTTACTATAAACTATAAAAGATACTATAAACTGGTTTAAAGACTAGACTATAGACTAGACTGTAGACTAGACAATAGATTAGACTATAGACCAGACTATAGACTAGACTATAGACTAGACTATAGACTAGACTATAGACTAGACTATAGACTAGACTATAGACTAGACTATAGACTAGACTATAGACTAGACTAATAGACTAGACTATAGACTAGACTATAGACTAGACTATAGACTAGACTATAGACTAGACTATAGACTAGACTATAGACTAGACTATAGACTAGACTATAGACTAGACTATAGACTAGACTATAGACTAGACTATAGACTAGACTATAGACTAGACTATAGACTAGACTATAGACTAGACTATAGACTAGACTATAGACTAGACTATAGACTAGACTATAGACTAGACTATAGACTAGACTATAGACTAGACTATAGACTAGACTATAGACTAGACTATAGACTAGACTATAGACTAGACTATAGACTAGACTATAGACTAGACTATAGACTAGACTATAGACTAGACTATAGACTAGACTATAGACTAGACTATAGACTAGACTATAGACTAGACTATAGACTAGACTATAGACTAGACTATAGACTAGACTATAGACTAGACTATAGACTAGACTATAGACTAGACTATAGACTAGACTATAGACTAGACTATAGACTAGACTATAGACTAGACTATAGACTAGACTATAGACTAGACTATAGACTAGACTATAGACTAGACTATAGACTAGACTATAGACTAGACTATAGACTAGACTATAGACTAGACTATAGACTAGACTATAGACTAGACTATAGACTAGACTATAGACTAGACTATAGACTAGACTATAGACTAGACTATAGACTAGACTAGACTATAGACTAGACTAGACTATAGACTAGACTAGACTATAGACTAGACTAGACTAGACTATAGACTAGACTATAGACTAGACTAGACTATAGACTAGACTATAGACTAGACTAGACTATAGACTAGACTATAGACTAGACTAGACTATAGACTAGACTATAGACTAGACTATAGACTAGACTATAGACTAGACTATAGACTATAGACTAGACTAGACTATAGACTAGACTAGACTATAGACTAGACTAGACTATAGACTAAACTATAGACTAGACTATAGACTAGACTATAGACTAGACTATAGACTAGACTATAGACTAGACTATAGACTAGACTATAGACTAGACTATAGACTAGACTATAGACTAGACTATAGACTAGACTATAGACTAGACTATAGACTAGACTATAGACTAGACTATAGACTAGACTATAGACTAGACTATAGACTAGACTATAGACTAGACTATAGACTAGACTATAGACTAGACTATAGACTAGACTATAGACTAGACTATAGACTAGACTATAGACTAGACTATAGACTAGACTAGACTAGACTATAGACTAGACTATAGACTAGACTATAGACTAGACTAGACTATAGACTAGACTAGACTAACTAGACTAGACTATAGACTAGACTATAGACTAGACTATAGACTAGACTATAGACTAGACTAGACTATAGACTAGACTATAGACTAGACTATAGACTAGACTATAGACTAGACTATAGACTAGACTATAGACTAGACTATAGACTAGACTATAGACTAGACTATAGACTAGACTATAGACTAGACTATAGACTAGACTATAGACTAGACTAGACTATAGACTAGACTATAGACTAGACTATAGACTAGACTATAGACTAGACTATAGACTAGACTATAGACTAGACTATAGACTAGACTATACTAGACTAATAGACTAGCTATAGACTAGACTATAGACTAGACATGACTAGACTATAGACTAGACTATAGACTAGACTATACTACTAGACTATAGACTAGACTATAGACTAGACTATAGACTAGACTATAGACTAGACTATAGACTAGACTTAAGACTAGACTATAGACTAGACTATAGACTAGACTATAGACTAGGACTATAGACTAGACTATAGACTTAGACTAATAGACTAGACTATAGACTAGACTATAGACTAGACTATAGACTAGACTATAGACTAGACTATAGACTAGACTATAGACTAGACTATAGACTAGACTATAGACTAGACTATAGACTAGACTATAGACTAGATCTATAGACTAGACTATAGACTAGACTATAGACTAGACTATAGACTAGACTATAGACTAGACTATAGACTAGACTATAGACTAGACTATAGACTAGACTATAGACTAGACTATAGACTAGACTATAGACTAGACTATAGACTAGACTATAGACTAGACTATAGACTAGACTATAGACTAGACTAGACTATAGACTAGACTATAGACTAGACTATAGACTAGACTATAGACTAGACTATAGACTAGACTATAGACTAGACTATAGACTAGACTATAGACTAGACTATAGACTAGACTATAGACTAGACTATAGACTAGACTATAGACTAGACTATAGACTAGACTATAGACTAGACTATAGACTAGACTATAGACTAGACTATAGACTAGACTATAGACTAGACTATAGACTAGACTATAGACTAGACTATAGACTAGACTATAGACTAGACTATAGACTAGACTATAGACTAGACTATAGACTAGACTATAGACTAGACTATAGACTAGACTATAGACTAGACTATAGACTAGACTATAGACTAGACTATAGACTAGACTATAGACTAGACTATAGACTAGACTATAGACTAGACTATAGAGTAGACTATAGTCTAGTCTAATAGACTAGACTCAGACTAAATTGGTTTGAGTCAGATTTTTAACGCAGCTAGAGGGCTACATGTGGCGACATGGAAGTACAAAATCTTAATTCCAATATCAATCAAATTTAACCGTTAATAAAAACCGTAATTAAACTTTTTTTAAGTTTTACTTTTTGGCGTTTTATTTTTACACATTAAAACAATTGTCATCTCTGTTTACACTCTCTTTCTGTATAAAATTTATTAAATTATGTATTATATTTTACTCAACAGTGTACTCACTTTATTAAGTTTGTTATTGTTATGATTTTGTTTTACTATACGAAACCCACTGTATTATTTTATACTTGTGTAGTTCGCACGATTTCGAGTAGAAAATGTTGTGTTAAATATTTGTGTTTTTTAGCGCAGTCGTTTTAGATGCTATTCTCTCCAAGTGAATGAGTAATAATTTTTTTGTTTCGGTAGTATTTAATATTATTCCTTTCTCTATTATATTGTTGTTGTTTTTATATTGTTATTTTTTCTTATTTTATTGTATTTTATATATGTATATTTACAAGATACAAGATTTTTAACTTAAAATTGTTTTTTTCCATGCTGCACTCACTTCCTTTTTTTGGTTGGTTGTCTGTCATATTTTATATTCAATATTATTTTAAATACGCTTGTCAAATTATTCATCACAAGGAAGTACGTCAATAAATGAATAAGTAAAATTTTTTGTGAGTGTATAGTATTGTTTATTTTGCGTTTTAAAGTACAAGTTGTTTGTTTTTTAGCGGTGAAAATAACAGATTTATTTTTATCGGTGTAGGCGCCAATTAATAGTGCTTTTTTATTTATTTACTAAAGATTCGTTCTATTTTTAGAAGATGTGTTGTCAGAGTAGAAAATTTTGCATATTTTATGGAGAATATTGGAAATTTTATATAAAATGTTTTAATATTGAAATTATATTAATTTCTTCGTGTTAAATGTTTCAAAAGGATATGAACTGTCCTTGTAAGTTATACGAATTTAGTTATTTGCTTAATCCATGTCAAGAACAAACATCACACAATGGAATATCTGATTATATGACTCTCTGGTTGGATTCTTTAAGAAAATGTCGATCATACATTTGACACCGCCAGTTTATAGTTCTCGCAGACAAACCGTATCATAAAACATGCTACGGTGGGACGTGAGAAGGGTATACTAATTTCATTTTTGATTGGTTTTTTCAGAAACTATAGCACATAACTTTCATAGACTAGTGTATAGTCTAGTCTATAGTCTAGTCTATAGTCTAGTCTATAGTCTAGTCTAAAGTCTAGTCTAGTAGTCTATAGTCTAGTCTATAGTCTAGTCTATAGTCTAGTCTATAGTCTAGTCTATAGTCTAGTCTATAGTCTAGTCTATAGTCTAGTCTATAGTCTAGTCTATAGTCTAGTCTATAGTCTAGTCTATAGTCTAGTCTATAGTCTAGTCTATAGTCTAGTCTATAGTCTAGTCTATAGTCTAGTCTATAGTCTAGTCTATAGTCTAGTCTATAGTCTAGTCTATAGTCTAGTCTATAGTCTAGTCTATAGTCTAGTCTATAGTCTAGTCTATAGTCTAGTCTATAGTCTAGTCTATAGTCTAGTCTATAGTCTAGTCTATAGTCTAGTCTATAGTCTAGTCTATAGTCTAGTCTATAGTCTAGTCTATAGTCTAGTCTATAGTCTAGTCTATAGTCTAGTCTATAGT